ACTCCATTAAAAACAGTGTTTCAAGTCTCTTCTACCTCTTGTACACCTACAACATCCTCCAACTCATTAGAATCAGAAATCCATCCAGATTTTCTAATTTCTCCATCTGACAAATACCCTGTACATGAACCTGAACCTGAATCAACCATACCTGCTAAAACTCCCATTTCAGACCCTTTGCCTCCACCTGCACCATCATCTGAGATGATTGTTCCCACTTCTAATCCATCATCATCTGGTATATCTTGTGCCCAAGTTTCTTCTCTTTATCATAATCTATCCTATGGTTTCAAACTGAAAGATTTTTATGATAGAGTTGAACCTTCTGAACCCCTGAAACCTCTGAAACCAAAACTCAGACAGGCTCTTCCATCTGTAATCCTTTCATATATTCAATCTATGAACAATAAAGGATCCTTAGCAACCATATCTGCTACATCTGGTAAAGCTATTGTTTCAGCTCTGCAACCTGCATCTGATAACACAGTTGCATCTGATAAACCATCAACCTCTGCTTTCATACCATACTCTAATGAACCCTTTGATGATGTTTGCCCACGCACAAGACCAAAACCAAATCTGCTTAATGCTTTAAACAGATCCTTACCTCAAAAACCAGAAATTCCTTTCATTCCATATTATCCCCCTCCTCTGATTTCCATCCCAAAATCACTGATACCACCAACTCCCAAACCTAAACATATGACTCTGGAAACCTTGCTTAAACCACCACCCAGACTTAATATTGATCATTTATTTCAAACATTTTTGCAAGAAATACAGATGTCTTTAGGTACTGTTCAGAAGAGATGCTCTGAAACTATGGATGCAAATGAAACTGACATCATCTGGAAAGGATTTATCAATAGATTCAACAATGTAGCTTCCAATCTGAAGAACATCTGTTCTGATGATGCAAAGCTCAGAGCTGAAAGAACTCAATTCTGGATTGTCAACAAAACTGAACCTCTGCTTTGTTTGGATGCTCCTCCTCCTCCAACAGAACCAACTGCCAATGCATTGACTATGACTCTGGTAGAACCCTCTTCAGGATCTCCAGAACCTATGGCACTTGACTCTGTTCAGGCTGCAGAACCTCCACCTTCTTCATCAGAGATAAAGACAGAACATCCAGATTTTGGAGACAAAATTGCTGCTCTGGAGGCTGGTCAATCTGAAATAAAATCTTGGATGGCGAAGCAAGACAAGAAATCTGAGGACATGACAGAGTGGATGTCAAAACAAGACGAGAAGAATGAGATAATGACTAAGTGGATGTCAAAGCAAGAGCAATCTTCATCTGAGATTACAGACCTATTGAAGATGCTTTTGTCAAAACACTCTTAGATTTTTTTTCATTCTAATGTTTGTGCATCTGTTGTTTTGCATCTGAATTTTATTGTTATATCTTCTGATATTTACCAATGTACTCTTGCTCTGTTTTGTTAAATGAATCAGTTTTTCTCCATTGAATTATCTATTTATTATTCCTTCTATTTGTCTTTATTAAAAGTTTCTACTTTTTGCTTATGACAAAAAAGGGGGAGAAAATAAAGATCTGAGCTGTTTAATATAACTTCACTAGAATGAATCTTCAGACATATCTATTCTATCTAATATTTAAATTGACCATTTCAGAACATTTGATAAGAACACTCTATAAAAGAATCTCTAAGTCTCTCAGATCATTTGTTTTTTTTATCAAACTCTGAATCTTATATCTGCAAGATATTCTGACCCTAAATTATTTCAAAGACAAACAAGATCTGACTCTGAAGATTACTCAAGATAAAAGGGAAGTTTCTATTCCTTTTTCTCATTTAACTCAGGGGGAGATTCATCATCTCAGGGGGAGTTATAATTCTTTATGTTCAGTTAAATAAAATTTCTGATACTTTTTGTCATCATCAAAAAGGGGGAGATTGTTAGAACACAGATTGGTTCTTAATAATAACTCTTTGTTTTGATGATAACTGTTAGGAAATTTATATTTAAGAATTATATACTCTAAAATTTGTTTGAGAGTTTTACTGCAGATTGAAATAATATTAACTCTCTAGAAGCAAATCTGTTTTGAATACAAGAAGTTATTCTGAAGCGCCAGATGCACCTTACAGAAGAATCTGTTTGCTCCTTACAGAAGATCCTGAGAATAGTCTCCAGAAGGATCTGAAGCAAGAAGCTCCAGAACATTCTGAGTCAGAAGCATCTGAAGATAATCAGAAGCATCTGAAGCTGAAGCATCTGAAGCATAGAAGAATATTTATTGAAGAGTTTCTCAAAGCATTTATCTACAGAAGTTTCTGAAAGTACCAACGCTGCCAAGTACAGAAGTTCTGTGTCAAATATGCACTGATGATCAACACGCTGAAAGCACACATGCTGCAGAAGACTCTGATATAGCAAAGTTCTGATTTTCATTAGAAGACTCTGATTCATTCAGACTCTGAAGAACTTGCTGAAAACTGAAGAAGAAATATTCAAGAATATATCCGTTGGAGCTATTCAACGTCTCTTTCCTCATTTGTGCTAGACACACTTACACAGACAAAAAGGATTTTTCTGTGCCATCTACTTCTAGGAAAGGTCACTTGATGTGAAGACAAAAAAGGCTCAGACCTTTTTGGGACTCTCTTTTCAACGTTCAGCTTGCTTGGATCAACTGCCTATAAAAGGAGAACTTCACCATATTCTTCAGTTACACACTTTGCTGAAAAGAAATCATTATATTCTAAAGCTCTCATTCATTCTTATTCTTCTTAGAATCTCATTGTACTTAAACTTAAGAGAAAAATCACTGTTGTGATAAAAGCTTTTTAGAAGCATTAAAACTCTTGTATTTAATTTACATTGATTGTAAAAGTTATTCCTTAAGAGGATTCAGTTGGAATCAATAGATCTTGAGAAGACTAAGAACTGTTGTTCTTAGGTGTTACTATTGTAATCAGTTTGACTTAATAGTGGATTAAGTCCTTGTTGAGAAAGGCAAATCACTCTAGGAAGGGTGGACTGGAGTAGTTGTTTAAACGAACCAGGATAAAAATAATTGTGTGATTATTTTCAAGTCTTAATTTTTCATACTTATTCAACCCCCCTTCTAAGTATTATCTCACCTTCAGAAGGAAGCACGTAACATCTATCAGAGTTCACTACAATACTTGAAATTTGGATGAGAGTTCACTAGAAAATTTGATGAGAGTTCATTGCGAAATTTTATAAAACACATAGTAGGCATATATGCAACTATAATAGAGAAACAAACAACTAAAAGTGAAATGGAGAAATATAAGTTATTATTGGAGATGAAGAAGAAACCCTAAAATATGTATCAATGTAACAAATTACAAAACTGTATTTTCTTGTTTTCATGTGAGCTTTGCATTCACCAAGACTCTTTGAGGAGACGGTTTTTGCTGTGGAATGAAACTTACACTGGCGATTTCCTCTTTGACATCCCATTGATTACGACTGAGATCAACGGTCTCCGTCGTTAGATCTATGTTGAACACGACAGAATATGGGAGAAAAAAATAATGCTTTGTTGATTAGAATTTGAAATGAAGAAAAATATAAAAATACGTTGAGGGGGAACATAAGATGAAGTGAGTGTGATTTTGCTTTTTTCTCCGGCGTATTGTGATGGTTTAATGTGAGAGATGAAAATTTTGTATCGGTTTAGGGTGTGAGTGATGTTAGCTTCCTAAAGATTTGCATAACAAAGAATGAAATTGAAAATAAATCAATTGGAATATGAAATCACGCTTACTTTAACATATCAATTTGTGTAGTCACAATTAATCTTGTTAGGCATGTAAAAATTACGGATTTGGATCCTCTCCTTTTTTATATATCCTGCCATCTCTCATGTTTCTAATATAACGGTTCAGAATTTATGTGGAAGAAATTCCAAAAATAACAAAGACAAATTAGTTATCAATTTCTCTCTCATATTAAATGACTTTTTTTATTTAATTATTCATTATAAATTCTGAACCGTTAGATTAGAAACATGAGAGATGACATGATATATAAAAAAAGGAGAGGATCCAAATCCACGGTTAAAATGATAATAAATTAATAGTAATTATTAAAATTATAAAATGACAATTAAGGATATAAAACACCTTACTTAATTAGTTCTAATCAAGGTTATAATATAATTTGTTGATAGTTAATGTAATTACTTTAAATACTTAATATTCATTAAAGGCTACAGTTAAAAGGAAAAAACAATTCTATTTTAAAATATAAGAAAATAATATTTATTTTAGAATAATATTTTTGTTAAAGTGATATTTATTTTAAAATGGACGGAAAACAAACACTATTAAATATTTACATATTTTTTACTTTCATACAAATCAAGTGTTTTTGTCCTTTCGAAATATAAATCTTTATAAATGTCTTTGATGTACAATTAATGTTTATTTTAGTGAGTGAAATATAGATCAAATAATGTGTTTTTTTCCCTTAATATTTAGTTGAGTTAAATAAGTATAATTTGTTAATTATGATTTAATAACACAAAATTTATTTATATTTATATTATTCATTAATATAAAACATTATTAATATTTACAAATTATTTATTTTTATAAAAAAATTAATATTTTTTCTTATATATTAAGATGATTTAATAATGTGTAGATAGATAACTAAATTGCTTAAATAAAACACAATCTTCTCTTTCCATGCTGGCACGCAATCATTGAGAAGCTCGTTGCGTGTCATCCACTTACATCTCGCCAGTATCCTTCCTTGCTCCTACTGTGTTTCTGACGGAGATATCAACGTGTCAACTTGTCAAATTCGAAGATCACAACACAAACAAAGCTTCGAAACTAACCACCAATTTCTCACCAACAAACAAAGCCGCATATTCCAATTATAACCTCAACCGTCCATTCCTAATCCAATGGCCCACAATCAAATTACTATCTATTAACTATTAACTCCCGAACTTCACTCTCACCGCGCCAGATCCCACCACCACCACCACCATGGCTTCCATACCTCTCACCACCGCCACCACTGCAACCACCCTCCCATCACTCCGCCTCCGCTCTTCTCCGCCACTTCGCCGATTCCAATCCAACAACACTTTCAAATCTCTCAAAGCAATTCGTCACTCCTCCATTTCCTCCTTCTCACCTCTCCCACTTACTAACCTCATTTCCAAACGCCACAGTCTCACTGTTAAGGCTTCATCAGCTTCCATCACACCAGCTCCATCTCCGGCTCCGGCTCCGGTTCCGGCTCAGCCATGGCAAGGAGCCGCGATAAAACCTCTCTTAGCATCGATAGCGACAGGAGTTATACTCTGGTTTGTTCCCACTCCAGAAGGTGTATCCAGAAACGCATGGCAATTGCTTGCGATTTTCTTAGGAACTATCGTCGGAATCATCACACAGCCATTACCTCTTGGTGCCGTTGCGATTTTGGGATTAGGAGTTTCGGTTCTGACCAAAACCCTACCCTTCGTTGCTGCATTCTCCGGCTTCGGCGATCCAATTCCATGGCTGATTTGTCTTGCATTTTTCTTCGCTAAGGGTTTTATCAAAACTGGACTAGGTAACCGTGTTGCTTATCAATTTGTTTCGCTTTTTGGTAGTTCTTCGTTAGGGTTAGGTTATAGTTTGGTTTTCAGTGAAGCTTTATTGGCACCTGCAATTCCTTCTGTTTCCGCTAGGGCTGGTGGAATTTTTCTTCCATTGGTTAAGTCTCTGTGTGTTGCTTGTGGAAGTAACGTTGGTGATGGAACGGAGAACAAGCTTGGGTCGTGGTTGATGCTTACTTGTTTTCAGACTTCATGTATTTCGTCGGCTATGTTTTTGACTGCAATGGCGGCAAATCCGCTGTGTGCAACTCTTACTTTGAATTCAATTAACCAGACAATTGGGTGGTTGGATTGGGCTAAAGCTGCTATTGTACCTGGTTTGGTGTCGTTGGTTTTGGTGCCGTTGATTTTGTATATTATATACCCTCCTACCATGAAATCTAGTCCTGATGCACCCAAGCTTGCTAGGGAAAGGTTGGCGAAAATGGGGCCAATGTCAGCCAATGAGAAAATCATGACTGCTACTCTGTTTCTTACGGTAATGAATTTGCATAGTTTATCTATATAACATATAATGTGTTATGTGTTTCCTATAAACTTGAAATAGGGTAGATAGCTTCACTATTATGGAACTGGGTTCTTGGATATTAATTTGATAGTTAGTAACTCTGTTATTTGCAATGGGGTACTTGTTGATTTGATTTGGAACTGTGCTCACATTTCGTGATAAATGTTGCTAAGAGTCTCACATTTGATAAGATATGATCTAAAAATATTTTTCTAAAGTGGTGAACAATTTTCATCTTACTAGTCAGTTTTTTAGAGTTGAGTTAGACTCAACCCAAATTCTAAGAAGCTCTAAGAAACGCAAATCTAAATGTAAAGTTGCTCTTTGGGCCACTCACCCCCAACCCAAACCTATGATGCCTTTACTCTGTAGAATGATTTTGTTTCTAAACTGTTTTGTTGGGTCTTTTGTCCCTAATGAGTTGAGCATCCAATTTTCTATGCTGGACTGGTCATACAACAGATGTTGTGGTTTTTCTATTTAGCTGAGTGAACTGTAAATAATTAGGCATTGGTTATGACTAGTCACACCATCTTTAAATTTGTTTGCAAAATTAGGTTGTGTCATCCTATTGGTCTGCAGATAATCATTTGATAGCAAGTTTTTAAAAATTGCCGTCGTGCTGGGATCCTGGATATTGTGGAAAATTGCTGACAAATATGGATGACTATGTGATTTGCGAATCGTTTTTAAAAAACTTTGCTTACTAGTAGTTCAATTGCTGTATACCTCGTGTCTTGATTTGGTGAATACAGTTTGGTAATTTAAATGTTTTAGAATCTTCTTTTTGTTTGGTAACTTATTACCTCCCTCGCCTATTTCTACCAGGTTGGACTTTGGGTTTTTGGAGGGCTTCTTAATGTAGATGCTGTAACTGCTGCCATTCTTGGATTAGCTGTACTTCTTATCACAGGGGTTGTAACATGGAAAGAGTGCTTAGCTGAGGGTGTTGCCTGGGATACTCTCACGTGGTTTGCTGCCCTCATTGCAATGGCCGGGTATTTGAACAAATATGGTCTCATCTCTTGGTTCAGTCAAACTGTAGTCAAGGTATATTTCCTGCCTCATCTTTCTACCTCAAGTGGCTAATACCATTTAATTTTACTTGATGCTGCTCCCGACGATTGATCTTCAGTTCTTTTGCCTTTCATCGGTTCTCTATAGCAAACCAGTGAATGTGTGATTTTTCGTTTAATTTATTTTATTTTTTACTATATTGTACTAATTGTTTGACCAAATCAACCACTGTAACATGTTTTGAAATATTCAGAATCAAATAAGCTTTCAACCCACTTTTTATGATTATTATTAAATAAGCAACACACATGCCTCTAGTAAGTAATGATTGATCAGCATGCTTGTATTGTGTGCTCTCTTGGGACACACAACACGCATCTTGGTTCATGTGGTGTGCTTTGTTCTTACTTCTGAATTTATCAGCATTCGCTTCTTGTTCAAAGCTTATGCTAAATCAAAGTTTACGCATCTTGGTTCATGTGGGGTGCTTTGGTCGTACTTCTGAGCCAATCAGTATCCACTTCATGTTCAAAGCATATACTAAATAAAAGTTCCCTGCCTTTGGCATTTAGATGTGGATATGTGTGGATTTAAATGTGTCCCCTCCAGGTCATCATGAGTTCTTAGTACTATGAGTCCCAATAATTGCCACTGAAGAAATGCCATTTATTTAATTATAATAATAAGTTACATGCATACCATACGTATTACCGATGTGCTACATTATGCACCATGTTTTATGATGATATTTCCATTTTAGAGTAATTATTAAAATAGATTTATATATATACTTTGAATCTTTGATCATGTTAATGATAGAGTTTGCTAATGTTATTACAGTTTGTTGGTGGATTGGGCCTTTCATGGCAACTATCTTTTGGTATTCTGGTTCTCCTATACTTCTACTCCCATTACTTCTTTGCCAGTGGAGCTGCTCATATTGGTGCCATGTTTACTGCATTTTTGTCGGTTGCTACTGCCCTGGGGACTCCACCATTCTTCGGAGCCATGGTGCTGTCTTTCCTCTCCAACCTTATGGGTGGCCTTACTCATTATGGGATTGGGTCAGCTCCGGTGTTTTTCGGTGCCAACTATGTCCCACTTGCCAAATGGTGGGGTTACGGATTTGTTATTAGTATTGTTAACATTATAATCTGGCTTGGACTCGGGTCTATTTGGTGGAAAGCCATTGGCTTGTGGTAAGGGGTCTGATATATAATTTTGCCAACACAGTTAAGATTTTTGCATACATCCATGTACGCATTCTTGTTACTATCACCAGGCGAAGCAAATTGCTATTTTTTAACCTATGCTTTCTAGAAATAATCTTCGGAAGGTTTTGTTGTAGATTTAAACGGGAGCCTGGATACCAAAGGTCGAGTTAGATCTTGGGTAGACCAGTTACATTATTATTTATGAGATGTAAACACACCAAATTATTCAGGATATATTAGCATGACTCATATGCTTCCATTGTTTTCTTTCCTTTAAATATTTGGTGCAAGTGCAACTTTCTTTTCTAATGGGATGGCAATAGAGTGTGTACTGTATCTGAAATTTTACAATTTTACAGATACGTGAACTCTGGAGTTCTTCTATTTTCTATTTAGTTTTCAATTATAAGAGACATAGATACACGTAATAGATAAACGAGACTCATTAGTGAGGTTCAATTATGTATCAATTGTGTCTATCTCTATCAGGATGTTCCTCTTTCCGAGATCCCAAGACTGTTTGCAGAAAAACTCGAGTTGCAAGGCTAAGGCTGAGTATGCTACTTGATTTTAGTTACTTTTTGCTGAATGCACTATTAGCCAAGGGGAAAGGTTAACTGAGTACTTTGTGAGGTCTTTGCTTAGTTAATAACTGGTATAAGGGATTAATATTTTGTGAGGTCTAAGCTTAATTAATAATTTGTATGAGGGATCAATATTTTCAGAGAAATTCAACCCTAGTTAAGATTTGATCTCTTGGAATCACCTAATTTTTTCTTATGTAAATGAAATATATTTAAAATATGTTTGATTCTATTTAGAATTGATTTTAGTGTAAAATTAATTTTTACATGCTTAATCTTAATAAAATTGATTTTCTTTTTAGAATCTTTAGACATGATAATGAGTCTGCATGTTCAGTTTTTTTATTACATATTTTTATTAAAATAAATTATAAATAATTTAAAAAAATGTTATTTTAATATAATTTTAAAAAATAATTAAATTTAAAGATATTTTAAATAGATTTTTATAAAAATTATTTGAGATATATTTTTTAAAAAATTTGATAAGACTTAATTTTATTTGATATATTTGATTAATTAATTTTACAAAAAAATTTAATATTCAAAACATAATTTTATTAAGAAAAATTTAAGTTAAAACAAACACGTTCATTATTTTGAAGACATGATTTGTAATTTTGAGTCAAGACCTAATTTCGGATGAAATTTATTCTTCAAATTATTTTTACATAAATTATTTAAAATTTATTTACCTTAATACCTTGATATAGTTATAAAGAAAACGAGAAATTAGATTGGATAAGTTGACCATTGATTTTAAAATCACCACACATCCACCAATTGACAATTTTTTGTATTTCTAATTTGATAATGCATGACGTATTTGAAGATTTTAACTTCTCACCATCCACACTTATATCTAACATCTTCTAGTCACCCTCTACACTTATATCTAACATTTTCTATTTAGTGTATTTTTACCGTTATATATATATATATATATATATATATATATATATATATATATATATATATATATATATATATATATATATATATATATATATATATATATATATATATATATATATATATATATATATATATATATATATATATATATATATATATATATATATATATATATATATATATATATATATATATATATATATATATATATATATATATATATATATATATATATATATATATATATATATATATATATATATATATATATATATATATATATATATATATATATATATATATATATATATATATATATATATATATATATATATATATATATATATATATATATATATATATATATATATATATATATATATATATATATATATATATATATATATATATATATATATATATATATATATATATATATATATATATATATATATATATATATATATATATATATATATATATATATATATATATATATATATATATATATATATATATATATATATATATATATATATATATATATATATATATATATATATATATATTAAAATCAGATTTTTTTTTAAATTTACCTGTTTTTGTCAGAATTTGCCATTTGTATTGTACATTTTCATATTTTCCAGTTTTTATATTGGATTTTTTTTTGAAAATTTTGATTAAAAAATGAATATTTCTAAAAAAAATTTGAAGAATACTAAATTTTTTTAAAAAAATTCTAAATTTTCAAAAAAAATTTACCGATAAACTACAACACTTTTCAAAATTTTCGATAGTATTAAAAAACATTTTTTTAATTGAATATAAAATTTTACTTTGGTTGGAATTTCCGATAGAAAATAGAATATTTATAATTTTCGGTAATATTTGCAAGTTCATGTAACTTCAAAAATTCTGGTATATCAAAAATTATAAATACATTATGAAAATTTAGTGTGTACTAGAAATTCTGATTTGCCTACCAAAATTTTTTTTCAAATTCTTTTTAGGGACAGTTTTGGAATTATAAAACTATAGGGGGTGTCAGGTTCAAATGGGCGGTGGTAAGTTAAAATCTCCAATCGTTAGTTTTCAAGTGAATTTTCATCTCAAATCAACAAAATAAATTTTAAAACATGTGGTTACACTAAACTTTAGGTTCGATTCGCCCATTCACATTAAGTATATGGATTAACGATATTTTGCGGAATAGAGTTCCCTTATTTATTTTCGTGCACTAGAAAAATAAAAGAATGACTAAGATATAATTTTTGACACTTGAAACATGTAAATTTTGTATGAATTTTATGTCTAACAAGTATCTCTATTTATTTAAAAACTGGCATCAAGTGGTGAGTAGAAACAATGTTTCAATGATTTCAATATGACCATTCGCGAACTATTATATATCAATATCAAACAAACTTTTTCATGAAAAACAAGCATACATAACTCACACATGAAATGTCGTACCATTGAATTAATATGACACATTTAATAATGCATTATGTCTCATATTCTTTTCACGAGAATTTAAGAGTCAAACCCTTGAACTCTATGAAGCGACACCACTTCATTCTCATATAAGTAGACTGTTGTGAATCTTGTTGTGAATTACGACAAAATTCAATATCAATTTGTGAGGCAAAGAATAATAACAACCAAAATAAATGGTCTTCAGCAATAATAATCCGTACACAGATAATATAACAGAATACGGCAAGAAAAAACCGAAGGTGTGTTTATCCAATTCGATAAAACGATCTACTCTTAGGGAGAGAGCAACTCTCCAATTCATTATACTCCGAAAGTTGTTACAAGAGATTACAAACGAGTTACAAGAAAACAACATTTGCCTTCAGGTTCCCAAGAACAACCCTGAAGGCGCCTAAGAACAATCATATTTTCTACCCAAGTGTTTCCGTACCTCTTCAACTCTCAATATATGAATCACTTAAATCCAAAGTTTTATTTGTGAATGGCTGAAACCCTATGCTATACCTTTAAACCCTTGGTCTCCCTTGTTGGTGAAAACTCTAAGATTGTCACACACCAAACATATAAGAGATACATATTTATAATAGCAAATGTCCAACAAACAAAGCCCAAAATCACATGGATCCATGGACCGAATCGAAAAAAGCCCGAAAACTCGAAAACACTATTCACCATAAGGACACCATTATTCATCCGTACAGACGATACTATTCATCTTTAAGGGACGGTAGTGTTCATCCGTACGGATGGTACTATTCACCGTACAGACAACACTATTCACCGACCGTTTTTTTCCCCTCGACTTTTCGTCCGACTTTCTAAAACTTTTGATTTTCGCGGTAAATGCAATCTCCAAAATATATTTTCTTTCTCTTCATCAACAAAGGTTTTAAGGCACATTTACAACAATTTCCATCTTGACTTTAAACCGTGTTGATACCAATTTAACAATCAACAACATTGCTTCTCTCTACCAAGTTGAAACTTTAATCAATAACTTTGATCAAATTCAAGCAACCCTTGAATCTTGATCTCGCAACTTGCATCCACTTGTTCCCAATTACCCTTTTCTGCCTAGGTAATTTAACAAGCCTACAAATATGATTTTTCAACCACCCTTGACTCCACCTGTTTTCAAATGCCTCCCTGGAGGTTTTTCTTCTTTTATTTTGCAGTCCTTCAGCCACATAAAAATATAATATTCAAGGCTAGCATAACCGTCCCTTTGAGATGCTACAATAACCCTCCTTACCTTATTATGAGTCAAATGATAATCAGAGATCTCTATAACCGTTCCCTCACTACTACTAGCATCTATAGTAGGAAACTCCACCTCAAATTGAATTTTCTATGTTATAGTTTCTCTCAGGTTTCTCCCTTGGTTCTTACTATTATTCTTCTGAAGAAATTCTCTACCAACCAAGTAAGTTGTTTTAACCGCAGCTCTTCCCCAAAAACTCAATAATAACTCAGCGGTAACATGCATTTTTATCCCTTGATTTATGAAAAATTCATTGTACTCCTCTGAAACTTTCTCAAGGTATTCATAACGCCTTAAACTCAAATCACATAACTCTTCCTTGTCACGAAAGCCTCCACTAGTTAACGATGAATGAATAATAACATTTGAACCTTCTAAAATATATATACCACATATTTTAGACCCTTCAGCAATAACTAATTCATCACTCAAAATCTTCAACACTCCACGTTCAACTCTAGTACAATAGCCTAGATCATCAAACATACTTATAGATGACAAATTTCGCTTGAGTTCTGGGACATACCTCACATTGTGAATAAGAAGTTCACGATCATTAAATATTTTAAATTTGACCATACCAATACCATGAACCTTGCATGTCTTATTATTACCAAGTCGAACTACTCCACCTTGCACCATCTTCAAAGTTTCAAAGTATTATATTCTTGGACACATGTGATAAGAGCAGCCTGAGTCAATGACCCAACTATCTTCAGTTTCCAAACTCGA